GACAGTATGGCCTTGGTGCATTGTCTCTATTCCATTTCACGGATGTAAATTTTCTCATTTACCGCGCGGATTTCCCGACTGATCAAATTCGCCGCAGGTCGTTCAACTGGTTTCTGCTGACTACCTATTGATACTCGACCCATCTGGGCTTCATCTTCCACCCATAAAAGGCAAACTCAGAACGTCGCTCATGATGCCCCTCTCCGTTGTTCTCAGGTCTGTTTTTGTCCCCCACATGGCATCATGCACCCCGACTAATAAATGCATCCAGTCGTTATCCGGATCAGCTCGCTTGTTTCGATTCATTGCACAAATTTTCGAAGTCTAATTCAAATTATAATGGGGTCTGTTCTATTTTATGATTAAACTGTTAGACTGAGACTCACACCTTGAATATTTCCAGACTTTATTCAGACTACCTTTGCGCCATGAGACCAGTCCGCTTTCTTCAACAGTCCTTACCGTTTCCAGCTGTTTGGACCGTCTCCGCGGTCCATACTTTGATCTTGCCAAGGATGCCATGTATTTTACATGTCTCAAGAAGATCTCAGCGAATCGACGTCCTCTGGTTGTGAGTGCCATATCGATACTGCGGTTGGATTATGCTGAAGAGCTTCGCAAGGAACCTGTGGGTCAGCTCTGGTCGGTGTCTGCCTCCCGGAAACAAACAACCACCGATGATGTGATTGATCATGAGATCGTGACGTTGAAAGTGATTCAAGAATCCGCAACGTCCTCTGAAAAATGGCTTGTCACTAAATCAGCGACCTTGCCTTCTTACGCACCTCCTGAATGCAAGGAGGCGTTAGCAGGAATGAAACTGAATGCAAGCAAAGCTGGGATTGTGGTCCGAATAGCCTTTTTACTGAAGCAGTCGGTAAACACTCGACTTCCGACCCACTACTTTTTTTCCAGTTTACGGCTTCCAATACAGTCATCCCTGCCCGCGCACATACATGCCCAGTTCTCCATCTCATCTGACCGACGACACATTCGTTTGGAACCTCCCAATGGATCCGGGACCCGTATTCCTCAGTCAGCTTATAACCACTGGATCCTGGATCATTTGATCCCCCCCTTGTATATTTCAAGCGTCGCACACGTTCCGAAATCACTTTCGGACAAGGATCCCTTGACATGGTGGCCCACCCTGGTCGATGCAGACGAAATATCGCGAACAATTGTTCTTGCATTTTACAACCTGTTGCCAACATCGTCGGCTCTGATCTGCTCCTCTCTTACCTCCCATCGCATAGCACCCAAGGATGCCATATTTTGCAAACGCGAAACGCCGGCCGAAGTTATCAAGGTTCTGCGTTTGCTAGAGTGCCGCAATCTGGTACATCTATACAGAGAGGAAATTTACGATCTCGCATTCCCCACATCCGAGACCGAGGAAACGGCACTCCAGACCGTCGATGCCATCGCTGTCAAGAAGGCTCTGGGATCTGATGCCGCCAGTCTTACCACGTTTTTCGGCAATGGGCGCATCGGTACTAAGGATGTCGATGGTGTTCTTCTGTTCCTCCTAAAGGCGAAGATTTCCATTGCTCAACTTCCGCTCTTCGTTCAGGCAGACAATCGCCTTGTCTGTGTCAATAAAAACAGCCCAGCCAAATATTGTCCTCCTTCCAATTTGATTACCAAGGCGACGGAAATCTTCCAACGAGACCGTTTTGTTCAGTTGACACGCGAGGCACGAGAGTTGTTGCAAAATGCAGATGTCAACATCAAGCCATGGGATGCAGATGGGGTCCTATCGCTTCTCGGAGAAGAAATACAACCAGCGCTGCGTACCACCCATTCCGACACGACTGGCGACTTGATAGCGAAGTTCTGGAACCACTACGAACACTTACCCGGCCCGCCCGAACTCTCCTCGTTCGATACGCTTCCTTTAATTCCGACGATGAGGAACGGGGAATATATTTCGGCCCAATATTGTCAAAGAGATGACGCTATCTCAAAGCCTGCCGAAATAGATCCTTCACACTTGCTTGCCTTGCAGCAAATAGGTGTCGTATTTTACCGGCCGCCTCAACAAATCGCGTCGTTGAAATTACGTATCAAGCATTTCACTCTTTCGACGTGCATACGGGCAATCCAGTCCAAGGCAGTCGCATTTTCCAACTTGCACTTCGATGAGGGACGAGGCATCTCCGAATGGATCCGAGACCAGATTTATTACTGCCCAGATGCCGATAAAAACATCGTCTCGGCCCTACCGATATGGGTCGCTCGCCAACGGAATACAGAAGTCTTGCTTCCGGCGCCACAGATCCATATGCTTCCCTTTCAGTCCCTGCATCTAGATACATTTACCCCGTATCTCAAACCCGCGATTGCATTGGCCGAACATTCTTTGCCGTTGCAGACAGTCCTTGGTTGGCCTCCTGCAAGACGAGCTATGTCTTCGACGCAGCTCGCAGAAATCCTAGACTTCCCACCTTTTCTAGGCATCGCTGATATCGGCCGCTATTCACAACTTTTAACGGCATTTTTATCCCTCCAGGACGGTGAAGACTGGGGGCTCCGTGTTCCGGATGGAAACCTAACACTACGGCCCGTTGACAAACTTTATGATCACTCCAATGATCTATTCCAGGCGACGTTCCAGTTGATGGGATCCGAACAAGTGAACTTTCTACATCCATCCTTTCGGGATTTGCATCCGCAACTTCGCTCAAAGGGCCTGAGGTCTGAAACTGATTGGGATTCATTCCACTTCTGCGTCCAGCGCATTGACGAAGCAGTTGGAGCAGGAAGGGGCAATATAGTGGAAGCGGCGACAGTGGCTTATCAATTCTACAACTCTCATCTGCCGCTCAGCGTTGGGGCTGTTCCAACGAAGTGGGAGGCGCTGAACAGAATACGGTTTATACCTCGCCATCAGAGGCGAAGCAGCCACTCTCCGACGTTCGCTGTTGAGCCGTATTGTGTTTCGCTACCCGCAGTCGTCTCTCCTTCTCAGCTTGTTCAGGAAAAGTATGAACAGGTGGTGTGGACACAATGCGGACTGTTCCTGCAGCAACCGGGAGACAATATGATTGCCGTGAATTCGTCTCTTGGAGTGCCGAATGCGAAAGAAGTGGTAAGACAGCCCACTTTCCGTTGTTTTACGTTCTGACTCTATGAGTAGGTCGCTCATCTCGCCGTTTTAGCTCTCAGAATCGCGCCTGAACATCCCAGAGACCCGCTCCTCCTGCAACATATTCAAGCGACATATCAGTGGCTGAATGATCACAATGAGGCCGCCAGGCAACATCTTCTGAGCACGGCAGGAGCACTGTTCTTGAACATAGATGATCCGACTGAACCGTGGGAATGGCGTCCGGCAAGCCAACTGCTGTTCAATGTTGAATATGACTACCCCGAGATGGAGTCTTTCAGAGTCCGCCAATTCCTGCAGGACTACCGTCCCATGCTGCTTGCCGCCGGAGCAGGAATTGAACATGCTGTGGACTATAAGCCCCAGACGACGCCACGAGATGGCAATGCTCTCCGAGAATCGTTCAACACCCTGCGAAAAGACAACAAGTTGACGGATATGGTGCTGATGCCAACTGAGACGATGGGGGAAGGGGAGGAGGACAAGACGCTGCGAGCCCATTCTGCTTTCGTCGCTGCAGTGATCCCGCACGTGGAGCAGGGTCTTGTGAGCTGGAACGAACACAAAACGGAGCAATATTCGTTCCCTGGTTCACGTTGGGGAGCCTGCGCCATCCTGGGTACGTAGAGTTCGGTTCTACGCATACGATTCTGATTATCAGAGAAGATTTTATATACACAGGCAGAATTGAACCCCCGGATCTGAGTAGGAGTAATTACGACCATGATGATTTCCTGCGAGATCTGCTCGAGTTGCTCGGATCTGCAGACGAATGGTATATGCCCGAGCTGAAGGATGAAATAGGCAGGCTCATCAAGCAGTGGCGGTTGCTGTCGCGAGAAACATATCGGACGAGTGAGTGCCAGTGTCTTGGACTCCAGATCTGTGCTAACTTGACTTTTCTAGTCCTTGAAAACGCCCGGAGCTACCAGGCTGAGTCGCTGGTCAAGTATTGCGAAGATTGGCGAGAGAGGAATCCGGATTCAGTCAGAAACTGAGAAACGAGAGTATTTTGTTATAGTTTTTGTACACAAGCAGATGTACACGCAGAATAAGTATACATGTCCGGAACTTTTGGGATCCTGAGATAACCCCACCCAATTCGAGGGCAGATCGCACCTGCAATTTTAAAAAAAAACTCCGTGTTTAAATTTGAACTTGCTCCGAGTCGACTCAGTCGCATCATGCTTCATATCGAATCGTGATGGCTCCAAGACTTTCTTCACGCTTTCGGGCAGAAATAATGGAAGAACGAGAAGAAATCACCAGATATGGAAGAATAAGCCGAACAAAAGTTGAGTTTTCTTCCAATTTTCTTCTTGAACCACGTTTTGGTTCGCAAGAGCCAGCGGGTAAGCTTAGGTCAGCTTGCACACAATTTGATGGTTTTGTTGCTCATCTCGGCCCGGTGTTTACGGTGAGGTCTTTCCCACATTTAAAAGTGCCCTAGACTTTACTATCAAGGTGTGTTCAAGCAAAGATATGTTCATTGTTCAACTTCAAGACAACTCAACGCGAAAGCTACCATCATTAATGCCAATGGACATGGCCTTGCATACAGAGTAATCCTCCTCGATTTCTGCAGAGTCACATTGGTTTCTCTGCCATCCATGCTTTACAGGGTCATATTTGACACTACGCAAGACTGATGCCAATTTGCGAAGAAGAAAAATTTCAAAAAGAGATTTATGCATGGCATTCAGAATGTTTAACTCCCAGTTCTATTATCTCATGTCTAATTGAAACAAAAAAACATCGTTTGTGTGTTTGTTTTTGGAGACACATTAACAGCACAGGCTTGAGTGCGGACGGCAACGGAGTGCGGTACTGTGTTCCTCGCGGTCTCGGGGATCTATCTCAACCCGGAGTCCCGGCAGCCATATGGGTTTTGTGCCAACAGAGGGACTTGAACCCACATCCGCCCTGCTTTCAATATGAATGTGGTGGGCTGTTCTACCACTGAACTATAGTTGCACGAAAGAACGGTGGATTTGGCAAATACATATACTCCAGGCTCAGGTTACATTCATGGCGTACACTGCAGGTGAGATGCGCTATGCCATGATCGTTTGGGGTTTCTTTGTCGGAAAGGCAGAATAGAGGCTAATAGAACAGATATTCTGTCCATCCGACTTCGACAAGGTGTTGATCAAGTGAGTTTACATGCAATCAATTAACGCGTCGATCTTCCCCCTTCTCCCCATACGGAAGTGTTCCCTATAAAGCCGTGACGCGTCAGTGGCAGGGGTGCTTTGCGCACTGTGAATCTTGCTTTCATCAAAATTCAACGGTTTTTATTTTTTTCGTACGTACCCGCTAAACCAAGCCGGAAAACTATGAAACTTGGCTAGGCCGCGCATAAAACACGAATTACACATCGCTGGACTTCGATGACTGGGGAGTCTGCCGTGTAGTCTCGGGCCCGGATTGGCCAAGAGCCTCATCGAGGGGAGGCAACGACGGAGGAAAACATCGAGCTGCTCTCATCGCAGATAGAAACACTCACCAGCACAGACGAGGACGATCGTAAACTATGGGTGGATGTAAATCCCGCCAACCAACTCCCAGTTCATCTGTTGGCGGATATGTTCAAAAACTCAAAGTCGCGGATCTGGTGTGTGGTTCATTGTTAGCCTTCATTTTGCTCTCGCACGCAAAGAAGAAGAAAAAATACGTAGTGTGTTTTCTTTTTCTTGAGACACATAGACCGCACAGGTGTGAGTGCGGAACGAAACTGTGCCTCGTCGCGAGCACGGGGAACATTTAACCCGGGGCCCGGCACCCATTTGATTTTCGTGCAAACAGAGGGATTTGAACCCTCGACCTTCCCAACGCCCGTTTTCTGAGCTGTGGGCTGTTCTACCGCTGAACTATAGTTGCACGGAAGGTTACTGACTATAGTACAACATACTGCATGCTGTTACTCCAGGGCATGGCAGGTGAGATGCGCTATAGAGGCCGCAACTCGGGTTTCTTAGTGCGTCCCTTGAGAGGCAGAGTCGAACTTATTAGAGCAGGATGTTAATTCGTCTCACCCAGCGGATTCCAGCCATCCAGCACATAAGCGGGGTCAGATCACGTACATGGAATCAATCAATTAATTAAGCCCGTCGATCTTCCCCATAAAGCACCGACGCGTCATGATTCCAATTCGTATAAGTATGTGTTTGTCTTTGTCTATTTCAGTAATTCTCCCCTTGACCACTACGCCCACCATGTCGGTGAAAACACGAAACAAGGTCGTCGGCTTCGTCAAGAGCGACAAGTACAATCCGGCACCACTTCCCGTTCTTCAAACAGTACCTCGCCTAGCCTCCCTGGCTCAGCGTGAGGACTTCAAGTCGATCGGCTACGGAATCGTGGACGGATGTGTTTTTATCTCTACGGTCGGATCAATATCCAGAAAACCACTGGGATACTCGAAGGTAATATCGCCTTTTGACAGAGCTGAGCCCATCACTGACACCTCTTCAGTTTATCCGAGGAATCGCTCGCCATCGAGAGTCCTGCATGCGGTGATCGAAAAGGTTGACCACCAACTTGTGGTAGACGTTGCAAATGTTGGAGAAGGCTCTCGCCGAGTTCGTGGGTGCCCAATGGCTGGAATCCGGCGCTAACTTTGGACGAGCCGGAAAAATCCGACTTGGTCACGTTCGTTTCAGTGGCTGCGCCCGGTTTTGGAACCTGTGTTGAGGGTCGCTGCCGAGGATTTCATGTGCGTAATTCATCCCAATACTGTCGCAACGGGGCTGAAATAAGTTCAATAGTAAGATGCATCGACTTAACGAACAGGACACAGCCGCGTGGTTGATCAAGAGGGACGCGAGGCTGCCTCCCGGTAGGTCGCATCGCGAGCTTACTTCACACCACCGCTTACCTCACACCACCGCTTACCTCACACCACAGGCTTACAGTTCTTCGAAAATGTCTACCAGATCCAAAACCGCGTACGTCCCATATGAAGTTACTCATTTATATATTATACTGACTACATTCTTTCAGCCGCCACCTCAGGAGCCCGCCAGCCCGGAATCAGCTTCGCGGACTCGGACGGGGAGACGGATTTATCTGGGGTGGAGAACCTGGACAAGACTGAGTTGCAGCACGAGGCTGACGGCGACGCCAACAAATCCGCCTCCTCCGGCAGCGACGACGATGCTGATGACGACGAGGACGACGATGTCGAAGCTGACCAGGATGCGGAGGACGACGCTGATGATGTTGAAGGTGATGGCACTGACGGCAACCTTGACGCCGACAATCAGTTCGAGATTGCAGTCGACGCCAACTCGTCATCTTTCGACTTCAGTTCGTCAGACATTAGCATGCGAACGGCGGATGCGTTCACCGGCTCCGCTCCCGATGCCCTCGCCGCCGACGGGACCAAGATTCAGACCCACCACCTGGTACGTTCCTCGTTTCACCATAATTCATCACAGCTCATGGGACTTTCGCGCGACAGGTGGCCCTTGCGGACAACATCGCTGTGCGCATCCTTTTTCATCTCTTTCCAGCAGCAACTTACCGTGCACCCAGGCCATGGCTGCCGCAGTGCCTCGGTCGCCCGTTCTGCGTGACAGCCCGGGGACGGGGCTCAACGGCATCGCGCCCTCTGACCTCCACGCCCTGTTCGTCTCGCCACCTGGCATTTCTGCCAACATGGCGAACTGGCGCCTGCCGTCGCTCTCGCCAAACCCAAGCGCCGACAGAGCTTTGCGGGAGTTCACGAATGACGTCGGCACCCTCAAGACGCCCTCGCCGCTCTGGAGCGAGGTTCGACGGGAGGTTCGGGTTACCGACGGTGTAGACGGCTACCTCGCCTGCGTACGTGTCTTCCTGGCAAGACTCTTCCCTGCCGCTCATCAAACTTGTTTCGACAGCTTGATGGCTCGCGCGCCGGGGACGAGGTGTTTTGCAGTGTACGTGTTTCTTTCAATGGTGCTGTGACATGCCTGCCGCTCACGGGACTTGGCTCGACAGCCGCGCGCCCGCACGACACTGTTCTCCGGGCCGTCGCTGCTCGGTCCGGCGTTCCAGGTAGGTGCTTTATATTCCGCGTCGTCTTAATCTAACGAACGATCGTAGTTGGCCCCGCCCCAGCCCTCCACCGCGCCGGTCATGGTGCGTTGTATCTCAGTGGTCGTTGTGCAGAAAGTTCTGAGTCATCTTCAGGCGCAGACTGGCGAGCCTACACCTCTGAGCTTCTATTTGGTTCAGCCCGTCGCACCACTCGACGCGGCGTTCGAAGTGCGTATCATCTTCTGCTCGGGCAAGTACTTGGAGCTGACCAAAACAGCCCGAACCCCCCACCGCCGCCGCTAAGGTTCAAGCCACACCTGTACGTTTCCCTTTATTGACTGTGTGCGACTTTTCTGAACGCGATTTAGGAGCGCAAGGGCGACGGGCGAATCCCGCTTAGTCCCTTCAACTTCCAGCACAAGGACCAGAAGGGGAAGGGTCGGGCGCATTAGATTTCCCGTCTTTCCTGTCTTGCGTCTCATTGTCTCTATCTCCGACGTGGATTTCTCTCTTTCTTTTCCTTTTATTCTTAAACTCTGTATTGGATTTACTGTATCACAATCGGTGTATTTCCTTTTCTTTTTCTGTAGTGTATCGGACTACTTTTATTTTATCTCACTTTAATGTTGTAGAAGATTAGGAATTTGTATTTGGATTGTGTTTGACTGCGATTCATGCACTTGCCTTAATTGAACCACCAGCCTCTCGACTCAGCGGCCAAGATTTACTTTTGCATCGTAAATATTAACTGGAAACGACGTATCCCCGTACCCATCTATAATCCGGACCCACAGCGCAACTTTGGGAGCTCCGAAACGTACTGGGTTCCCGATTTTAGACGTGGATGCGCTGAAAATCAATGGCACGATTCAGGATTCCCACGGTTGAAATCTCGGTGATGATCACGTGTTGGTTCATTTTTGGTTCATTTGCGGAAAGCCTTCGAGAATTTGAAGGAAATGGTCCCGGGCCATTCGGTGCTCTTTTTGTGGCCAATTTCATAAAAGAATGCCAGGGAAAAGATGAGGGCAAATAGTTAAATTTTTGCACGACCTAATGATTCGAGACCTGTGGGAGACGATTATTCCAAGTTTGTCAAATGTTTCACCGTGAACTGTGGATCAGATACGAGGAAAATTCATACCGGTTGGGTCCCTTCAAGGGCTTTGGCATGCACACGCTCTTGGTAAAGCCTTCAAAATGGAGTGAATGTGGCTGCCCGCTCAAGCAACGTCCGAGGGTGAAAAGAGGGGATCCGCTAAGTTGACGGTGTTCTGCGGCAGGCACCGGTACTCAGTCATAGCGGAAGCGTTTTTGATCGTTCAAACGGCGAGGCGAATCCGTTCTTGTTGGGATGTCATCCTGTAGTGTCCATAGTTGGGGTCAAAATATTGATGGGCAGATACAAGAACAGATTGCTTGAACCAACTTTCCCACAGTTGAACTTCAGCGAATAACTCCATGATTTATTCTTTCTCAGGGGCCTGGGGTGCGGAGGAGAAAACCGCATAGAAGATCAACCCTAGTAAGAGTCTAGAAGAACTTGATTCTTATCCCCGCGGTCCTGGTCCACGGGATCATCTATGTGTGCCTTTCGGCCCGAGCTGCTGGACGACTGTTCATTCCACCATGACGATGAGCAATCCAGCGCAGCAAAGCTCAACGGTCCGAGTGGCCATTGTGACAGGTGCTGCTCAAGGCATCGGGCGTGCGATAGCTCTCCGTCTGGCGGCCGACGGTCTCGACGTGACGGTGCAGGATCTGCCTGCGAAACTCGACTTGCTCAACGCCGTGGTTCAGGAAATCGAAAGCACAGGCCACAAAGCTCTCGCCATCGGGTCAGACGTGACCAAAGAAAGCGACGTCCAGGCGCTGGTCGAGTCTACTGTATCTGCGCTCGGCCGTCTCGATGTGGTGAGTATGATAGTTCACGGATTTCACGCCGGACGTTGGGACTCATAGCGTCGACAGATGGTAGCCAATGCCGGTGTCGGTTCGGGAGGCATTGTATCTGTGATGGATGGTGAGCTGAATTCCATCGTGGCGAATTAACTGCTTAGATATGGGTCTCAGCCAACGTCGAAGAATGGGAGAAACGATGGGAGGTGAACATCAGAGGAGTTCTTCTGTGTTACAAGTACGGAGCCCGCCAGATGGTCAAGCAAGGGGAAGGGGGACGGATCCTTGGTACTTATCACTTTTGGCGTCTAATGCACCAGTCAAGTTGACATTTTTTTTTTACTCAATAGGTGCTTCCTCGATGTGTGGGTTACAAGGTGCGCTGCATGGGATTCAACATGGGGATTCATTCCTAGATTGCATTGCTCGCAGGATATGCGGGTACCGGTGGTTATTGCATATCGAAGGCCGCCGTCCGCTCGTTGACTCAGACTACCGGTAGGCTATCTATCTCTGTGACATAATCTTCCTTTTACAGCTTCGGCCTACCAGCGAAAGAGCTGCGAGAGCACAGAATCACAGTAAATGCATACGCACCTGGAGCTATCGAGACAAGCATGTGTAGGTCGGACCATCCACCTTGAGAATTCAACTCATATAAAGTTTTCTAGCCGCTGGGGAAGCTGACAAAATACACGGCCCAGGATTTGCTGTCAAACAGGTACGACCTGTGGGGACTGGCTCTTCGAATTTAATTCATCCTGAGGATGGTTACAGCTCTTCAAGGTTCCACACGTCCGCACAGGCCAGCCTGCCGATGTGGCGGCTCTTGTTTCGTTTCTAGCTTCCCTGGAAGCGCACTTCATCACTGGTGTGTGTTCCATCGATTACGTGTACTCGCTGGGTCTTGATTTTTTCAGGCCAGACGGTTTCTGTAGATGACGGGATCCATTTCTCCTGAT